TCTCTGGGAACCCCCTGCCTTCTGGTACATCATCCCATCTGCGAGCTTCTTGGCCACATGCTGCAGGACGACCTCGGCAAAGAGAGAGAGAGAGGGATAATAAAAGAAGAAGAAGAAGAAAGGAACAGAGAGACAGAGAGAGAGAGAGAGAGAAAGCGCGGGGGAAGGACGGGCAGGAAGATGGCCAAGCATGATAACGGGACGAGAACTGCTGCTGGCAGACCTCAAATGTGCGGGGTGGGGGAGGACGCCAGTGGATGAGGCGGTGGACGACGCATGACCAGAGCGGCACAAGGTGTAGGCCCAGACGGAGCCAGGACGAGGACAACATCGGATGAGGATCAAACGAGAATCTCTGAGATCTGGCGGCTCTGGAGGATGTCTCGGGCGCCGCCGCTCTGGAACGGATTTATCCTCGTCCTGGCCCCGTCCGATGAGCAGAGGGGCACAGTGTGTGGGCAGAGGCCTCGGGCACACGACTTTCCGAGAGGAGACCCGGACCGCCCACTGGCGCCTTGCGCGACGACGCCCTTCGCGCATGGGCATGCCAGAGTACAACCGCGACATGTACACACATATGCCCTCCAGTGGATTGCTTCTGGGCCTCATGGCGAGGGTGGCGGCGCACAGATCACCACGGAGAGCCAGCGATCTTACACAGCGCCACCTTCCTTTGAAGGCAGAGGGAAAACTCGTTGGCGGGCGTCTGTGTATGCACTTTTGTGTGATGCAAGATGCAAGACACCAGCGCCCCGGCACTGCCACTGGCTGCATGGCTGAAACGGGGCTCCACGTGGTGCGGCTTGAAACCGCTTCTCCGGAGGCGCAAACATAGCCATAAACATAGAAACGTTCGGAGCTCCGCGGGGACTCTCCTTGCATCCGCGCTGGACCCCCTATCCCTGGCGCGCGGAGCGCGCCAGGCGCGGCGACGGACACGGCTCCTGGGGGGCTCAGCGCCGATCCACGAAGTCCGCGCGGAACTCCAAACGTTCTCGGGGAAACCAAGAGGTACCGATACCGCTGCCTCTCGAGAGCGGGGAATTGTGGAGTACCTCGGGGTCGAGGGCGCGCGCGCGCGAGGCTTTCCCATTGAATTCGCGCGTGCGTCTTTGGGTGCTCGGCGTGCTCCGTGGCGTCCACCTCTCCCTTCTCGTCCTCCTTCTTTCTTCTCTCCCCCTCCTCCTCCTCAGAAGAGACACGGTCCGTTTTTTGGTTCCCCCCCCGACCCGCCCCCCCCCCCGAAACAAAAAGAAACAATGAAAATTTTGGTGGGGGGTCTCCGTTGTGCTTTTTGTGCTTGTTTAGGGGCGATTAGCAAACCAACAAAGTTTTCTCCTCCTCCTCCTCCACCTCCTCCTCCTCCTCCTCCTCCTCCTCCTCCTCTTCCTCCTCCTCCTCCTCCTCCTCCTACTCCTACTCCTCGAGAGATGCACGGTCCGTTGTTCAGGGACCCCCTCCGCACCCCCCCCCCAAAAAAAATGTGGGTGAGGGTCTGCGGTATTGTTACCTATTTTTGGAGCGGGAGAGGAACACACACACATATCAACAACTCATCATTATCCTCCTCCTCCTCGTCCTCTTCCTCCCGCTAATCATCCCTCCTCCTCCCCCTCCACACCCCCTCCTCCCCCTCCTCCTTCTCTCCTCCGCCTATACCCCTCATCATCCTCTCCTCCTCCTCCTCCTCTTCCTCCTCCTCTTCCTCATCCTCCTTTTCCTCCTCATTATCATCATCCCCACCAGAAGGGGTTCCCTACCGATTTCTTATTATGATGCTGAGCTTAACATGCCCTGCCAAGGCTTTTATCAAAGTTCACCCGGGCCTAGCAACGCTTAGACAGGACTTACCTTACCAAAGCTGTCTGTTGCTTAGCAAAGCTAGCCAAGGCTGGGCAGGGCTTAGTTTGGCTTGGCAAGACTTTCCAGTGCTTAGCAGAGATTACCAAAAAGTAGCAATGCCTGGTAGAGCTGGGCATGGCTTAGCAGCGTCTACCACGGCCTGGCTAGGGTGAGCAACATCCACCGGGGCTCAGCAAGGCTTCGAAGGAATGAGCAAGGCTGACCAGGCTTAGCTGGGCTTGGCAAGGCATGGCAGGCTAAGCAGGGCTTTGCAGAGCTCACAAGGCTTAGCAACGCTCACCAAGGCTCAGCAGTGCTCAACAAGGCGTGCGAGGACTTAGCATGGCTTAGTAAGGCTGACCAAGCTTGGCTGGGCTTAGCAAGACTTACCAACTTTAGCAGGGCTTAGCAGGACAGAGCAAGACATAACAAAGCTTACCAGACCTGAGCAGGGTGAGCTGGGTCTTCGCAGGGATTTGTAAAGCTTGCCAAGACCTAGCAGTGTCTAGCGGGGGCCAGCAAGGCTCAGCAGGGCTTACCAAGGCTTAGCAGGGCTTGTGACGGCTTAGCAAGGCTTACCAAGTCTTAGCAGGGCTTAGCAAAACTTGCCAAGGCTGAGCGAGGCTAAGCAAGGCCTAGCAAGCTTACCAGGCCCCAGGCTTACCAAGGCTTACCAAGGCTTAGCAGGGCTTCGCGGAGCTTACCAGGGCTGATCAAAGCGGCGCAATGTCTATCAAAACTGAGGGGCTTACCAGGTTTTCCAGGGCTTCGCAAGGCTTGGCAAATCTTAGCACGGCTGAGCAAAGCTTAGCAGGACTTAGCCGAGTTTGGCAGGGCTGACCAAGGCTTACCAGAGCGTAGCAGGGCTCAGCAGAGCTTAATAGGGCTGAGCAAGGTTAAGCAGGATTTAGCAGGGTTTACATAAGACTGACCAAGGCTTACCAGAGCGTAGCAGGGCTCAGCAAGGCTTGGCCGAGCCTGGCAAGGCTGGGCATGGCTTAGCTAAGCTTAGCAGGGCTCACTAGGAGGCACCAAAGCTTAGCAAGGCGTAACAAATACTACCAGGGCGTGGCAGGGTTTACCAGTACTGAGCGGGCAAAGATGCCACATTGATGGCAAACTGGGCTGAATAGTGAAGATGTTGGCGAACTGATCGTATAGCTTATGAGAGTGGAGAGAGAGAGAGAGAGAGAAAGAAAGAAAACAAAAAAAACAAGAGCGAGAGAGGGAGAAGAGAGAGAGAGAGAGAGAGAAGAAAACAGGTGAAGAGAAGGGAGAAGACTACGACAACTCCTCTGGAAGACAGAGATACTCCACGTCCCCCCGGCATCAACCTCTCCCAGGGTGCGATCTGACCAGAATTTCCAAGCGAATCCGGCGGTGGCGACGAGGGCCTCCCAGCAGGCCCCCCAAAAAGGAAAAACAAGGCGCGGGTAGCGGTATGGGTGCCTTCTTCAGGGAGACGAAAGACGCAAGCTAGGGGGGCTCGGGTTGGCCCGACGAGGCCATCATGAAACCGATGCACCCAATCTGAAATTTGGCGCGGGCTCCCGCTGCAGACACCCCTCGAGAACTGGACTGTTGAAATCCAGGACGCGCTCGTCTAAAAGCGACGGAAACCCGAGTTCCAGCGCACTCGAATCTTACGCTTCCCCGATTTCTCCCTTCCGAGATCATTATCCTTCTTCTACTTCTTCTTCTTATTATTATTATTATCATTATTATTATTATTCGAGCCTCCCGCTGCCCTCGCTGCCTCTGCTGCCGCCGCCTGGCCCAGCCGCGCGCCCTCGCGGCCCGCCCCGGAAGGAGATGCCCACCGCCCGACCCTCCACGCGTCCTGCAGGGAGACCAAGACGAAGCCAGGACTGGTGGGCGTTTTCCACCACCACTACCATAAGTGGGAGGGGGAGGGGGTCCTCCTCCTCCTCCTCCTCCTCCTCCTCCTCCTCATCCTCTACCTCCTTCCCCCCTCCAACGTATGGTGGTGGTGGTGGAAAACAGGCCCATGAAGGACGAGGACGAGACTGAGGGAAGATACCTCGGGAATCTTTGGGATCCCGCGGCTCTGGAGGATGTCCCTTGGCGCCGCGGCCTCCTCAGAGCGTTCCGGAACGCTCCGAGAGCGCTCCAGACCGCTCTGTGACGGAATAATTGAAGGGGAACTGGGACACACAAATAAATACACACAAATAAAAATATTCCCCATATTTTCCAATATTTTCAGTGTTTCTGTCTTCCCCCCCCCTTCCCATATTTTCCCATATTTTCTGGGGAATCGCCGATTAATTGTGTCTGTGCGTTTCTTTCCCTCCTGAATAATCCTCGCCCTGGGCCCGCCCGGAGAGAGCCCAGGAGTCGAACCGAGAGCGTCGGAGCACTCCGTCGGCTCTCGGCGGAGATCGGCCGCCAGGTCGGGAGGAGTCGCGTCGGCGGGGGAAGAAAAAAAAAGACGGCAGGCCAGCGAAGTTTCCATGGAAAAAATACGGGATCCAAATCGAAATCCGAAGTCGGATCGAATCGGAACCGGAAGCGAAATCCGAAATCGAATCGGAGCGACTCGGAAAAAAGTCGACGTGGACCCTGGGCCGGTGACGCTGCGATTCGGAGGCCTCCCCGTCCTGCCGCAGGGGCAGCTACCGAGGGCCCTGGCCGAGCACCTCGTCTGAAGCTGGGAGTGGAGGCGCAGGGGAGAGTGGGGCTCGGCTCGGCTCGGGCCCCGCGGGTGCCTTGGCCGAAGCAGGGCGGCACTCGAGACCCGGGCGTCGTCTGCGCGGCCATCGAGCAGGGGCCGGGTCGATCCTACTGGCTACACGGGCTCTCGGCTCGGCCGACGCGGCCCCTGCGGGCGGCCGCCACCCTGGCGCGCAGCCAGGGGAGAGGGAGGGAGGGGAGCAGGAGGAACGGCGAGGGGTGACAGGAGGGGAATGGGACCGTAGATGGACAAAACAGATAACCCTTGGCTCCGCCTCCCCCTTCCCCCCCTCCATTCAAAGCTGACCCTGAGCATTCGGGGGCACAGGCTCGAAAGGACAAAATAGTGGAACCCCCAGGGCCTCCAGCAGGCAGGACGCCAACTTTGAGTCTGGGGGGAAAGGGGGGGGCGAACACGGGGTCGAAAACGAAGGGGCTCCATTTCGTCGTCCCCTTACTGGAGGAGCAGGATGGGCAGGAGAGGAAAGAGGAGGCAGAGGCCGACGACGCCGAAGCGGAGGGCGGCGGCGACAAGAGGAGAACGGGCACGAGGGGGAGGACGAGGTGGGGGAGGCGGGGGAGGGCGAGGAGGCCGAGTGGACGACGAGGGGAGGACTAGGAGGAGGATGAGGACGGGGACAAGAAGTTGCGACGAGGAACTGCGCCGCAAGGAGAGGATGAGAGCGGACGAGCGGAGGAAACCAAGGAAGACGCGCGGGAGGACGAAGAGAAGAAGACGACAGGCGCGAGACGCGAGACGACCGCGACGATCATGCGGCGGAGCACGAGGCAGGGAGGATGCAGAAGAGGACGAGGACAAGGCCGACGACGACGAGCAGCACGAATAGAAGAGGCGGGCGGCTGGGCGCGCGCCTGGGCGGGGCCGCAGGCCCCGTGGTTGATCATGTCCGGCTGGAGGACCTTCTCCTGCCTCACCGATACCTCCGCGGGGCGGCTGCGAGGCCCAAGCTCGAACTGGGGAACCGCGAAATCCTTCGAACGAAGGATTGCAAAAAAACCCTACGTTCGTTCACGAAGGGTTTTTTTGCAATCCTTCGTTCACGAAGGGTTTTTTTTTGCAATCCTTCGGTTTTTTTTGCAATCCTTAGACCATATGAACATGTATTTGTTTTTTGCCTTGGGCGGACCCCTTGGGGGGTGTCCTGGGGCCTTCTTGGGGCCCTGTCTGGTTGCGGTGCAACCGTCTTGGGGCCCTGTGGAAACCGCCCTCGGGCTCTCTATTGCCCATCGTGGGAGTCGCGGCGAGGCCTCTGGGACGTCCGCGGCGTCCAGAGTGAGGCCCCGGGGGCGGTCGGAAAAGTGACCTGGGGCGAGGGCGGGGCGTCCGAAACGGGTCATGTTTTTTTTGGGGGGCAAAGTGAGTGACATTATTTTTGTCCACGCTGGATGTATATGAAAATAAACGGCTGCACAGATGCTTTTTGATGCTTGAGAGAGCGTGATCCACCGCCGCTTTACTGTGGAAAATTGCCAACCTTTTCCTCCGGAACCCGGGGGTCGCCCCTCCCCCCCCCCCCTCCGAAAATCCCCCCCCCCCCCTTGCTGGACCCCTCCCCCCCCCCCCCCCCCCCCGGCAAAACCCCCCCTCCCGTAACCACCCGACCCGCCCTCCCGCTCGAAAACCGGGGGGGGTCACTACCGGTTCGAACCCCTCCCCCCCCCCCCCCCCCCTCCTGATCCGGAAAACCGGCCGTGGGGGGGTCACTACAGTTTTCCGAACCCCCCCCCCCCCCCCCCCACCTACTACTCCTGCTAGCAAACGAACTCCGGTCCCCACCACCGTCCGCATCACATCATCACATCCCCCACTGGTGTTCCCAGCACCACTGTCCTCACCACCGCTGTCCCCACTGGTTCCACCACCGCCCCTACTGTCCCCACCAGTGGCCCCACCACTGTCGCACTGTCCCCGCTGTCCACAGAACTGTTCCCACCACGGTTCCACTCTCCCCACTGTCTCCACGGCCCCAACCACTGCCCGACTATCCCCACTGTCCCCACTGTCCCACTGACTCCTCCGCTGTCCCACTGAGCTGTCCCACTGTTCCCACCAATGTCCCCACTGTCCCCACCACTGTCCCACTGTACCTCTGTCCCATTGTCCCACCGCCGTCCTCGCCACCGCCTTCACCACTGTCCCCACCACCATTGTACCCTCCACTGTCCCACTGTTTCCACCTCATTCCCATTGTCCCCACACCACTGTCCCCACCACCACCGTCACCACCACTGTCCACTGTCCCCCCCTGTTCCCACCATTGTCCCCACCACCCCACCACTACCGTCCCCACCACTGTCCCACTGTCCCACTGTCCCCACCACTGTCCCGCTATCCCCTCACCACTGTCCCCACCAACACCGTCCCCACCACTGTCCGCACCCCCACTCGGTTTTCGAGGGGGGGGGGAGGGGTTCGAACCGGTAGTGACCCCCCCCCGGTTTTCCGGATCCGGAGGGGGGGGGGGGGTAGGGGGGGGGGAGGGGGGGGGGGGGGGGGGGGGGGGGGGTGGGGGGGGGGGGGGGGGCGGGGGGGGGGGGGGGGGGGGTTCGAACCGGTAGTGACCCCCCCCCCCTTTTCATGATGAGTTGGGAGGGGGGAAAGTTCGAACCGGTAGTGACCCCCCCCAGTATTCCGGAGGGGGGGGGGGGAGGGGTTCGAACCGGTAGTGACCCCCCCCCCGGTTTTCCGCCAGCAGCGGTAGAACACGTTCGAACCGGTAGTGACCCCCCCCCCCTTTTCATGATGAGTTGGGAGGGGGGAAAGTTCGAACCGGTAGTGACCCCCCCCAGTATTCCGGAGGGGGGGGGGGGAGGGGTTCGAACCGGTAGTGACCCCCCCCCCGGTTTTCCGCCAGCAGCGGTAGAACACGCTCTTTCTGATGTTTCGATGTGTGTCCACTCGTGAGATGTAGTGTGCGTCCAGTGCACATCAAATGTTATGTCAATCCCCCGATCATCCTTAACACCCGAAGGGTGGTCTTATCGGTAGGATTGTATGGGATAAACTCTAGGCACCCACAGCGATGGCTAAACAACAAACAACGCCGATGTAGAAGGGGTGGAGGGAGGAAAGGAAGCATGAAGGAGATGGAGGAGGTGAGTCAGGAGGGAATGGAGGTAAGAAGGAAGACGAGAGAGAGGACGGAAGGGAGAGAAGAGGCAACAGGGAGGAGGATGGGGCAGGGAGAAGGACGGAGGTGGCGATAAGGAGAGCGCAACGAGGCGGGAGCAGGAGAGGGGTTGGATAGCAGGCCTGGCATGCGTCGTCCTATTACCAGTTGCGTCCCTAGCCAAATGCTCGCACCATGGTTGTTGCGATATCAAACGCTGTAGAAGGCAGGGTGTCTTCATCTGGCGCACTGCTGGATGCATGTGTACAATGCACAGCTCAAGGAATTGTGCAAATGCTACTCACTGCTAGCTCCTGGCGCACGGGCGGCAGGCCTCAGTCAAGTCACCACTTATCTCAAAAAAGCAGGCGGCTCCTCGTGTGCGCGCAAACACACATGCCAGACGTCGGCCTTTTTCGCAGGGCCGAGAGTGGGGAATGCGAGGGTTGGGGGCCCCTCCAGGGCCCAAGATCTGGCCGAAATCGCCACGTCCCCCCGAAACGCCGACCGCGGCATTCCAAGTTGACTCAGAGCGACCGAAATTCCGGGTGGCGCGCATAGATGGTCTCCTCAATCCAGCGACCAATCAGACCGGTCTCTGGCGCCACTTCATGGAAGGAACGCTGTGCACGGACGTGACCGGAGGGGTGGGTGGTATATCCTGCCCATGGGTCGCAGTCGGGTGGGCGCGTCAATACTCTGAGGCTTCTCGTCACGTTCAGAAGTGCCTGCAATCCACCCTGGCGACGAGACACGTTCCGCGCTACTGGATCGAATGCATTGCCTGCCTGCGTGCGTGGCCAGTCCGTCCCTTATCTGTGAACAAGCAGCCCAATGCACTGTTGCAAAAACAATAATTATACGGTAGACCCGACAGAGGACACGTCTCGCAATGCCAAAAACAACGAGCTCGGTGCACGAGGCAAGATCTGTTTCTGGTGAGCCGGGAAAGTAATAGCATGTAGTAGTACAGAGGCCGTCGGCAAACACGAATCGACATCCAACTCGAAACGAAGGGTAGTCCGTAAACCCAAAAGTTGTGAGCGGCAATCGTCTGCGCTAAACGAGCGAGAGCGTAACATCAGGGGCGCTGCTGCTGGCACGTTGGCCGTGCAAACCACATCTTTCCTGCCGCCCTGGCCGACATGGCCGAATCCAGAAACCGTGAGCCCCAAAATGCCCACGTCTCGCTTGTCATGCCGCCACGCCCCGTCGACCGCACCTGGCGCACCCGCCGCCGTTTCACTTCCGCCAGCCTTCCGCACGTAGCGCACGACCCCCAATGATGAATCTGCGCAGGAGGCCGCGCGTGGGGCTCTGTACTGCCGTGTGGACGGCGCTGGCATTAGGCGCTGTGCTGGACCCGTGGCCCCACGCAGAGCCGGCAAGGGCCGCTGGGCACCTCCGTGGCCCCGGCCCCCGCCCCCGCGCGCCCTCCGGCAGGAGGACGGCACTGTGAGGGCCCCGCCGGCCCGCCGCCGGCTGCCGCCAAGGCGAGGTGCGCCGAGGCGAGCAGCCCTTGCTGCAGTGCCCCGCGCGGAGCTGCTGCCCCGCGCCCCTTCCCCACTCCGGTCCCCCGCCTCGAGATGGGCCGATGTTCCACCACGACAACCATAGGTAGTAGGTAGGAGAGGGAAGAGGAGGAGGAGGAGGAGGAGGAGGAGGAGGAGGAGGAGGAGAAGGAACTCCCCATTATCCCTTCTCCCCTGTCCTACCTGTGGTAGAAGTGGTGGAACATTGGCCCACCGCCTCCGGCCCGCCCCCCGCCTGCCAGCAGCGCTCGACCGTCCCCCCCTCTCCTCCCCTCGGCGGCGGGCAAAGGGGGGAAGTGAAAGGGAGAAAGCCTGCTCCGAAGGCGGCGGGGCTTCTCAGAAGGCCCCCTCGGCCTTCTGAGAAGTTTTCTGCGTCCTCGGGGAGGGCTTATAGAGAACTTATCACGAGGCCAGGGGACCTCCGAGCCCTCTGAGAAGGCCCGCCCCCTCATTTCCTCCTTGGGCTGGCCGCCGACAGCAGCGTCCGACCGACCCCCCCCTTCTCCTTGCCATCGCTCGGACGTCCATTCCCCGCGCCTTCTGCGGTCTGGCGCGTGTGATTTTGCTCTTGCTCGATGGCCCACGACGCCTTGAGAAATATTACACGCCTTGAGAAAAATATTGACACGCTCGAGCGATGACACGGCTCCTGCATCCTGATCGCAGCCCTCCCCCCGCTCCTCCCCGGGAGCGGCGCGCGGCGCGCCGTGCGCTTGGGGTAGCCCCTGGCCCGCGGGGGCGCTCGGGGAAGGCTCAGGGGAAAGGAGGGCACGGCAGCGGAGGAGGCGGCGGCGACCCAGACCTGGGAGTCGCGAGACACCTGGGGCATTTTTTACTGCCGTCGCCTTCCGCCAGCCTTCAGCCGGCTTCCGCTGGCGGAGGCGGCCTCGTTTTGCTCTCGCCGACCTTCCGCCGCCCTTCCGCCGACTTCCGCCGCGGGCCGCGGAAGAGATGACAACTCCTTTGATCCTCGAAGGCGAGGTCCTTTTTGGAAGGCCTCCAATAGGGCGAACTCTGTGTTTCCCGCAACAAAGCACGGCGCGCAGCGAAAGAATTATCCCGGCAAAGCAACCTAACAGCGATGTGTAGAAGCATATCTGAAAGCATTCCCCTTAAGATTCAGATGAAAATCCAGTTGTCGAATTCTGCTGTTCTCGCAGTCGTAGTCGCATTCGCGATGACAGTCGCAGCGGCAACGGCAGTCGCAGTCACAGCCTCAGCCTCAGCCTGCCTCCTCCTCCTCCTCCTCCTCTCTCCTGCTCCTCCTCCTCCTCCTCCTCCTCCTCTTCCTCCTGCTCCTCCTCGTTCTCGTCCTCCTCGTCTTGCTCGTCCTCCTCCTCCTGGTGCTCTCTCCTCCTCCTCCTCCTCCTCCTCCTCCTCCTCCTCCTCCTCCTGGTGGTCCTCGTTCTCCTCCTCCTGGTGCTCTCCCCCCCCCTCCTCCTCCTCGTCCTCCTCCTCCTCCTCCTCGTCCTCCTCCTCCTCCTCTCCTCCTCCTCCTCCTCCTCCCCCTTCTCCTCCTCCTCCTCCTCCTCCTCTCTGGCCCGCCTCCTGGTAGTCCTCCCCCTCCCCTCCTCCTCCTCCTCCTCCTCCTCCTCTTCCCGGTCGCCCTCGTTCTCGTCCTCCTCGTCTTGCTCGTCCTCCTCCTCCTGGTGTTCTCTCCTCCTCCTCCTCCTCCTCCTCCTCCTCCTCCTCCTCTCCTCCTCCTGGTGGTCCTCCTCCTCCTGTTCTCCTCCTCCTGGTACTCTCCCCCCCCCTCCTCCTCCTCCTCCTCGTCCTCGTCCTCCTCCTCCTCCTCCTCCTCTTCCTCCTCCTCCTCCTCCTCCTCCTCCTCCTCCTCCTCCTCCTCCTGGTACTCCTCCCCCTCCCCTCCTCCTCCTCCTCCTCTTCCTGGTCGTCCTCCTCCTCCTGGTCGTCCTCCTCCTCCTGCTCGTCCTCCTCCTCCTCCTGCTCGTCCTTCTTCTCCTGCTCCTCCTGCTCCTCGTCCTGCTCCTGCTCGTCCTCGTCCTCCTGGTCTTGCTCGTCCTCCTCCTCGTCGTGCTCTTGCCCCTGCTGAAAATGTGGCCCAGGAATTGGAGTTCTGGGAAGTCGAAGAGCACGAAGTTGCCTACAGTTGGCTACGGGCATTCAAAATGTGGCCCGGAATGGAGTTCTGGGAACTCGAAGAGCACGAAGTGGCCTACAGTTGGCTCCGGGCATTCAAAATGTGGCCCGGGAATGGAGTTCTGGGGAATCGAAGAGCACGAAGTGGCCTACAGTTGGCTCCGGGCATTCAAAATGTGGCCCGGGAATGGAGTTCTGGGAACTCGAAGAGCACGAAGTGGCCTACAGTTGGCTCCGGGCATTCAAAATGTGGCCCGGGAATGGAGTTCTGGGAACTCGAAGAGCACGAAGTGGCCTACAGTTGGCTCCGGGCATCCAAAATGTGGCCCGGGAATGGAATTCTGGGAACTCGAAGAGCACGAAGTGTATGACTGTTGCATCCGGCCCTCCAGAATGTGGCCCGGGAATGGAGTTCTGGGATCTCGAAGAGCACGAAGTGTGTGACTGTTGCATCCGGTTATTCAGAATGAGCCTGGGAATGGAGTTCTGGGAAGTCGAAGAGCACGAAGTGTGTGACTGTTGGCGAAAAACGAGGCCGGCACAGGCCCGCCCGGCAACTCCCAACACCTGCCCGGACCCCCCTGTGGAGTGATCTGTGAGCTCTTTTGAGTCCACTAGAAACCTATCAGTCTTCGCTGTTAGGTAAAAACGTCCCCGTAGAGGGGGCCGCGAGCTCCAGGGGCCCAGGCTCTTTTGGGAGGTCGGAAGCCTGGAAGGGCAAGGGTGATGAGCACGAGGTAGAACGCCAAGGGAAGGATGTGTCAAATGGGAAGAAAGATAGCAAGGATGCGAAGTGAAGGCTCAGACGGAGGACGGAAGCAAGAGGAGAGAGCAGGTATTATAGCACGCATGAACATAAAAACAACTGAGAAGGGATACGGAGCAGCGGGAAACCCACAAGGCATAGAGCAGGCGTGGGAAAAGGAAGTAATCCCAACAGCTCTTGAGGGCGTGAGTGGTTTAGAGCGTTTCCTGTTCAACCCCACTTCTTCCCCTTCGGTCAGGGGTTTACCCCTCCTCCTCCCCCTATTCCCCTGGACTTGGACGGGGGGTTCCGCGAGGTGTTGGAGAGTCCAAGAAGGCCTCAGCGAGAAGGCCCAAATCATTGATTATACTAAGGCTTCTGGGGGGGCTAACTGAGGACCCCCCCTTCTTGAACCGAGCTTCTCCAAGGTGGCCCCAAGATGGCCCCCAAGGTTCCCAAGCGGGCCCCAAGAGGCGCCGGGGAGGCCCCAAAAGCCTCCCGAGAGGCTTCCAAGACGCTCCCGAGGTGCCCCAAGGGGCTCCCCCGAGGCACACAAGACGCTCAAAGAGGCGCCCGGGACCGCCAGGAGGCCCCCAAGACGCCCCCAAATGACCCCAAGAAACTCTCCGTAGTCATCTGACGAGATCCCGAAAGGCATCCAAGAAGCCTCTGGCCTTCTTGCTCGCCCTCTCTCCTCCTATTCCTCATCCGCCTATTCCTCCTCGTCCCTCCTCCGTCCTCCCCGCCTCCCCTTCCCTCCTCCTCCTCCTCCTCCTCCTCCTCCGATTCCTCTTCCATCCTCTCGCTATAGGGGAGACGCCACTCGCCTGGGTATTGGTTCTGGATGGGCTGTGGGGTCTGCGCGAAGCGTCTAGAATAGTCAACACATGAACAGTAAGACTAATAAGCACTGGAAGAGGCAAGGCGGGACCGACCGGACGAAGGAACAAAGCCGCACGGGGGAGGAGGGGACGTGAGTAGAGGAGGGGGACTATAGTGAGGACAGAGCGGAGGGACCGAAGAGGAGAGCCTATGAGTGTGGAGTGGGCGGGGGACGGGGGGGACGGGGGAAACAACGGCGGGAAGGCACGGAGCACGAATAGAGAGCCGGCAGCTGAAGGCGGCACAGAGAGAGGAGAGGACAGAAGCAGGGACATAGAGCCTGCAGTGGATAACTAACCTCGAACATGCCCCCATGCCGCATGCCTAAGATCGACGAGCCCAAGGCGATGACAATCTTGGAGATGTGCCTTCAGAAACTGAGGGAATCCTTGACATCGGCTCCGAAATAAGGAGATGCCAATCAGAGAGATAGAAATATGCTTCAGGCTGGTGAACGGAGGGGCACAGTGCAAAGGGAGACGACGGAGACGAGGAGGCGGGTGCGTGCTGCCCCTTGGCAAGAGAGGGGGGGCAGCCAGGGGCACGTCCGCGCCCGAGAATCTGTTTTGCTTCAGCGAGCGCGAGGCGCTTCAATGAGCACGAGCAACGGCCGCGTTCAGGGCGCTGCCAATGGGTCACCACTGGGCGGGCCACCACCCCCTCGAGGAGACGGGCCCGATCGGGACCCCCAAGAACCCCCCAGGACTTCCACGTACGCCCAACGTCCGTCCGTTGGACACCGCACCGATCCTCGATCCTCTCACCTTCTCGATCCTCGATATCCAGGAGGAGCCGGAGAACCCAATCGTGGTGATCCCCCTTGGCACTGCCCGAGCTTCCAATGAGCGCGAGGCGCTGCGGGAGACTTTGCTATCCGGAAGAAGCCGAGAGGCGTTACGGCAGAGCCTGTGAGCAGGCAGTGCCCGAAAATACGGCCTCCGGTCACGACGATGAACAGGCAAAGACACTCAACTGAGAAAAACAACCGGTAATCGTGACGACTTCGCCGTAATAAGGCGGGCCAAGCTGACAAGCATTAAAAATGGCCCGATGCCGACTGAGACCAGGTCCCCTAAGCAAGTCCGCCTGAGGAGATCGAGCTTGAGGAGAGAAGAGCAGCAGCGCGCAGCCGCATGCCTCCCTGCCGAAAGAGTCTCCAGACCATTCGTCCAGAGCCCTACCCCCCAAACAGACCCTTCTCCTCCTCCTCCTCCTCCTCCTCCTCCTCCTACTACTCCTCCTCCTACTCCTCCCACCCATGCCAACTCTTGCTCCTCCCGCTCCTCATCCGCACCTTCATCCGCCCCATCCCTCACCCCTCCTCCTCCGCCGCTCCCCCCACCCTCTACTCATGGCCCTCCTCATGGCCGTGCTCGTACTGCTGATCCTCCTCAGTCCTCTCCTCCCACCCTGCCTCCACCTTCACACCTCTTGCTGGTAAAAGAGCGCTTCCCTGTCGCACCCCCAGGCGTGTCGGTGGGCCGGGCTGGGCGTTTCGCCTGACTCTTCCTCCGTACTGATAACCCTGGAGCTTCCAATCCGAACACCTTCAAGGGTGCAGGGCGGCCCGTTTTGAAAATGGACCTCTCGTCTCAGCGCCGCGCACATTCGTCATACTATGTTGCAGCCGTGTCACAGATGGAGGCCAGTTCATGTTCAACATGTGGCTCTCGCCTTAGCGTCGCGCACATTCGCCGTATAACAGTGCAGCAGGTCTAAACATTCTTAAAGTTGAACTCCCAGGAATGGCGCTCGAGCGCGATTTCGGATTGTCATGGCGCGGCTGTCACATGGATACGCGGTGTTGATATCCCAGGAAAAGTGTGCTGGCATGTTTCAGCACTGTCAGGGCGTAGCAGTCACGTTGATTCGCGGCTTTGACGTCCAAGGAATTGTGCCTTGGTAAAACTCAAGGTTCTCACACAGTATTGGAATTGAGAGGTACCCGAACCCTATTATAGATGCATATCTCAGTAAAACGACAATGTCATTGCCTTC